TAAGTTAACATTGCTGTTACTAAAAAAAGTTTTAGAACGTGGCTTTTAATATTAAAATATGTTTTTTGGCAGGGAAATAAAAACTGTATACATATATAAAACTTTTAATTATGTATAGTTTTATAATTAATTATTATATTTATTAGGAGTTAGTGATTTTTTTTAGTATTGTGTGATGTGTGTGTTGTGGGTAAGTATTTTTTACATAGGAGTGGGAGGGCATTGCTTCAACATATATATGTAAACATCTGCCCCACAGATAACCATTTCTTTAGTTACACATGAGGGAGTGATGATATCGCAGGCACAATTATCTCTCCCTCCCCAATACTGGTGATGGCACGCCGATGCCAACAACAGATTTGTGACTTGAGTTGAACTCTCTTCTCTAGGAAATGGTGCTACCTAAATCATAAAAATATCAATTACAAAGTCACGGAGAGCATAGTTACAGTAGTTCTTCTGAAATACAATATTTTTACCAGAAAAAAAAGATTCTCAATTCGTGTTTTTTTTTGGTAACGTTGCGATGTGTTTTGTACATCATGTACATTGTACATGTTTTGTTTTTTGAAAGATCCACTATTTAAAATATTTAAATTAAGTCAACAAATATTTGGAATATAAGGGTGCGTGGAGAAACCAGAGTTCTGTCCCTCTATCACAAAGAAAGGTTCAAAGTTTAAAGCCGAATTGATAAATCGTCTTTGCTTATTGTATAACATGTACTTAATTAGTTGATAATTTCATGTCATTATTTTTATTGATACTTTGAATAAAAAATATAATAATAAATACACGGTTAGGTCATATAATAAATGCCGTGAATTATGAGAAATGCTTACAATTATGACATGATTCTAAGTAGAGTAATCATATTTTGAAGCAGTTGTATTATTATTATATTTTTCAAGAATCTACAAATTGCATAGACAAATTTAGCCAGCCCGCATAGAGGTTGGCTTTCCCAACGTCGTCAGTAGTAAAAAAAGGTTATTTTTGAAATCTTTTATCTAAAATATCGCTACCAAAACTATATAGCATTCAATTTCCTTTGAAAACGAAGTATTAACTGAAGCCCATGTAACGATAAATTATGAAAAGCATTTAAATTATATTGCGTTCAAATTTCTTAGAAAATATCACTCCTACGGTTATTTTCTATTAACTATTGCCAATGCTTTGCTGATTGATTATTTCTTATTATTATAAAAATAATATCACGGTTAGCATTAAAAAATGTCAAAGTATATCCTTTACCCATATAAGAAATCCTATCATTTATCAATACAGTTTTAACGCGCGATGCACTCGAGAGGGTCAAGGTTGTGCGTATACTGTTATGGCATACTATTGGACTTGGAGATGTCCATGCGACAGCACATCGATGCAACATGCAGCAGATCATTTCGCAATCTCGGTTTTGTCCTAAGATCTTGCCTACCTTTTAAGAGTTTGTTGAGTTGAGCTTAAGTGTTGTTTATATTGCTTTCGTTTGGAAGCGGCGGTAGCCTAGTGGTTAAGGCGTTGGACTTGCGATCAAGAGGAAGTGGGTTCTAACCCTGACCAGTACACTACCGACGTGAACCCACTCCTAACACAAGCAATTTAGCTTAGCGGGAGGGGTTAACGTTTATACTAGTAAATTTGGTTGCTAGTAGTTTACTGGAATACGGTTGTCAGATATGGTTTCCCTGTTATGCGATACACAAAGGCAGCCTTAAGAGCATCCAGAAAAAGTTTATCGATTACCTTAATTCTAAACTTCATCACTGCTTACATGATTACATAGAGAATTGTCAAGAATTGTGTATCCCACCAGCTTTGAAATGGCGCAAACTTTCATACGACTGGTCACCTGCCATTTTAAAATTTTGCCTCAATGCTTTACAATTGACTCTCCCAAACAAATAGGTACAGCCAGGCACTTACTGACAGGTTCTAAGGGGCTATTAGACCGGGGTCATTCACGTCGCCATGAGTTCAGTTTATGGCTGGTGAAAGCGAAAAAGGAATAACAGCAAACATAAGAACTAACATAGCGTTTGTAAAGGAAGGCGAAATAAAAAAACTTCACAAAAGCCGTACTCAATTATAAATACCGAGAGTGACTAGACATTATTAGTGGACACGTATGAAAATCATTACAGAATACCGGAGGATATCTGTGCGTCGGCGTCCAGACCAGAAATATTTCTTTATGCCATTTCAATTAAGCGTAAAGAACTAGTAGAACTCACGATGCCATGTTAAACGAACATCATCATTTAAAAAGAAACAAGTACTTTGACTTAACCAACGAAATAACTAAAAATGGTTATGTCGTTGCGCAAGTATACCAGCTAAATCCCTCTATAAACTGCCTAAAGCTGCCTTGGATTCCAAGAGCTTCAGTAAGCTCTTTTCTTGAACGAATATCCAAAGCGGCATTGCTAGTCTCGTATCAAATATGGTAAGGTAGAGGGGGTAACACAGCAGACAGTGGAGGTAAGCGCTGACGTGTCGCAAGGAGTACTCCCTAAACGTTTACTTGTGTCGCAATTCCAAGGCGCTGTCGAAGTCGCATGTGTTATCCCCATCTATCACGTGAATCCATGGAACGCTAAGAAATAGGTCTTCACCATCTCCTAACTCCTGAGGAGAGGCGTATTCTGATGCATATGTGGTTACTATATAACATTCTACGAGGACGGATCGATTGTCCTACGCTTTTAAATAATATTAAGTTTAATGTACCCAAGAAACGTACTAGACACACTACATTATTTTGCACTCTATGTCCCTCGACTAATTACGGTAGAAACAGTGTAATATCACGTTTACTTGACTTTTGCAATAAACACTTTAATAGTGTAGACATATTCATCAGTTCCAAGGACAATTTCAAAAACCGAGTTTCGCTTAAATTACTATCATCGTAGGCTGTATAAAATCTCAACATTATTACACTAAATTATTTGTTTTATAGGTTTTTTAGAAAATAGAAAATTTCTAATTGTATTTATGCAATTTAATTTTTTTCCTCATATTTATATATTTGTATGTGTGATTTATTTAAAATCATAGTTATATTTCATATTTTACATCAATATGCCTATCTATTCAAGGTTTGCCAATCAGCTTGATATTATGATGATGATGATGGCCTTAGTCCACCAGGTGACCTGTCTGATCGGTTGCCGTTCAACGAGCATGTATCATACCTAATACAGAATCGCTCCTAGAAGCCTGTGAACGCCCCAGGACGCTTCTGGAAGGAGCTTGATAACGGCCCATTCTTAAGTCTAAATGCGGCAACCGGAGCCCACAACCAACACGAATACCGCCTGCTCGTTCTTCGTGAACTGAAGTTTTCATAAATAGTACGATTTTCTGAATTAAATAATAATGTACTGCACATATTATATGGCGTTATATATATCTAACAGTACATAAGTTATTTTTTATCAAGTAAAAGTGAATTTACGCCATCGACATGAACGCAAGCGAAACTGGTACATTCCATCAACAGCCTTTAATAGTCCACTGCTGGACATAGGCCTCTCCTTAGAAAGGAGGTTTTGAAAGTTTTGGCGAAACCGGTACAGGTAGTCTTTAATAAAAAAACAAAAGTATCAGCATTCCTTAACTTTCGTCCTCCGAATTTTAAATCAATTTTCCGAATCGTTTCGTAAATGACGGAGTTCTGAGAATTCGTAGTCTTCTCTTTTTTTTAAGTCAGCTAGAACACATTATCGAAATAAAGCTTTTAAAAAATGACAGCGACTTCCTCTCCACTCATTCAACTTGAAAAAAATTGCAATAAACGCAAATTGAGTTTGAGTACAACGTAAGCACTGATAAGTGGGGATTATCTGATTAAATCACGAACACTTCTGCGTACTAGATAAGGCATTGATGATGTAGATAAGACCTGTCTACACGTCCGGAGGGCAGAAATTCTGCTAATGATTAATGATAATGAACCCATCTTCCGCATTTTGACATTACTATCTCTAAACTACGCAAAGCTTGTACTATAAAAGCTAGATAGACTGATAGAATACTTATATACTTTTTGGAGTCATTTTTAAACCTCACTAGTTCGACGATCGAATGGGCCTCAATTCTGATATTTTATTATTGTATCAATAGAGTTTTGCACTCTTCGTATTCTACAGTCTGATGACTTGTCACTGAACTGCCACTGATACAAATGTCGAAAATGTCTTTGTAATAGTTTGGTAAGCGGTAAATTTTAAATTGTAAGGAAATTAAATATTTAATTTTCCAGATATGGATATGTTGTTAATATCACCATTGATGCCAGCCATTGTCACTACATCCACAGTCTACTTACACTGTGAATTTATGTTACAAGAATACCGATATTTTGACCGATGTCAAAAGCATCTCAATACCGTGTCAAAACGGTGGCTTGTAGGTTAACATAAAATAGTAGAATTGAGGCCTAATGGCTCGAACTTATGAGAACAAAGGAAAACTGCTAGCGGTATTGTTAATCTATATTTCATTAATCAATTTAGCTATCTCTTAGAGTTTTCACTTTTAGTTACGGCCACTACATGAATGAAAGGTAGCATAGCCGTTAGGGAACCATTCACATGTGGGCCGGCTCGACTGGACTGATACCATGGTCTAATGGGCAGCGGTAGTCTTACCTATATGCAAAAGATCACGATGACCGACTAAGTAGTTAAGGCGTAAAAGCTTAACAAACAAACTGACATTCTTCAAAATATAACATTTTAAAGTTAAGTTAGTTAGTTCGGGAGACAAAAATATCTTTAATACTATGGCCCCGAATAGAATATTCGTGACAAAGGGCAACCAATCGATTTCCTATGAAAAATACTCATGAGTAAAATCAAATCGTGTAGATCTTTGTTCTTAGTAAATTATTTTAATAACAATATTCTTGTAAGCTGAACATGTAACATTTGATATAATTATTACTTTTTAGCTCTTCATCAGCGAGAATAATGTCAACTTGACCAATAATGGACACCAAACTATCGCTGTTTCTATTCATAATCATTAAAACATGTCTCAGTGAAAACTTAGACAATCTATTTCAAATAATTAACGAAGAAACGGGAAAATTCAATGCCATAGCTGCTAACATAGCATGGGAGTCCTCAATTAATCCTGGCAACCCAGAACTGAAGGAAAAATCAATTAAGTATCAAAGAAATCGAATAACATGGCAACAAACAACTTGTGATAGACTGGGCATGCTTTATAACAGTCAGTTGTTAAATGAAACGCAAAGAAGACATGCGTATTTGCTGTGTCGAGGACCTAAGTTTACGTTTAATGAAGCAAGGTAAGATTACGCGTAAGTTTTTGTTAATTCTTTGACAGGCTGTTTTTTTTCTTTTTGTTAAAAAAGACAACTCCCGCATTAGGAATATATCCTGTGTCGCGGGGGACTTACAAACATACATGAAACGAACACCCAGACTCAGAACAAAAATTTGTGGATCAAACAAAGTGTCGCCCCATGTGGGGTTTGAACCCACAACACTCGGCGTAGTAGGAAGCGACGTGGCGACCGCTTAAACCACTCACACCATCAAATCATTCAGGTGTAAGCTATCGTGTAAATTATAAAATAACTTTGCTCAGATTAGATGAAATAAAATCAATTAAGGCAAGTAACATTTATAGCTCAACCATTTAATATATAAACTTGATTGTGTGAGTTATTTCTTTTTTTTTAATTTTGTGACTGTTATATTATTTTGTCACATGAAATCATGTCCGATGAAATACACAGCTACCCTTAAAGAATTAGTAGCGAAATTTTAAGGGTATACCCTTTATAACAGAACTTTTTATGTAATAATATTATTTTGCATAACAATGGATATCATAAACTTAATTTCGCAGAAACTCGTTCGGCAGACACTCATATACCATTCACTCATAACTTTGTAAGTCATAATTATCTTTAGGCATAAACTTCATATCAACATAAAACATAATAATTAAAAAGTAGAACCATCACATCGCCGAAAGTTCATTGTCAAAATAGTCTTAGAGCATAAATTTCATATCGATAGTCATTGAAAGGTACAACTATCATATCTCAAGGAGTTTACAGTGAGAATCATCTTTTGGCATACATGAGATATAAATATCTATAATAATTGAAAGGCTCTCTATCCATAATTTTGTATTTCTTAACATAATAATAATAAAGCCAGACAGCATGCAACATGCAAGCAAGAATGCAGCATGCAGCATATCTGTCACGGCTCCGGCGCTGCGGGGCTCGCTCACAGCCGCGGCTGAGGATTGCCGGCTAAGCCAGCCAGCAAGCCGAAGTTGCGGTAAAGCGAGCGTTGAAACCACCTCCTCCTCAGCTCGCGGGCTGCCTCGCCCCTCCGCGCCTACGAGGGCTTAAATTACACTCTAGGGGTAAGGCAGACAAGACTACGTGAAGTCGGTTTTGCAGGCCTTCGTTTCTATCACAAACTTTTGTAGCAAGACAGAATATGACCTTTTAAGAAAATATTTCAATTTAAGGTTAATTAAGTTATTTGAGACTGCACGGATGGCGCAGTGGTTTAAGCGGTCGCCACGCCGCTTCCTACTGCGCCGAGTGTTGTGGGTTCAAACCCCACATGGGACGACACTTTGTGTGATCCACAAATTATTGTTCTAAGTCTGGGTGTTCTTTGTGTCCGTTTCATGTATGTTTGTAAAGTCCCCCGCGACACAGGATATATTCCTAATGCGGGAGTTGTCTTTAAAAAATTTTTTATGCCTTGAAAATATTCTTTTAAAGAAGATTCTGCCAAATGTGTTATGCGAAATAAATTTTGGAACATCCAGATTCTGCCAGATAGAGGGAACGCAAAATTTTTGATGTGATCACAAAACACCAACAGAAGTCGCTTAAAGTTGCAATGCTGCTGTCCTCTATTCACGCCCGAGATTCGTTGGAGGAAAAAACTTCACTCAAAGGGCGGCCGCGCACTTTTGTCTCTTGGGCAGCAAATGACTATGGGCGCGCTAGTTACTTACCATCAAGTGACCCGTCTGCATGTTTGCCTTCTCTACCCAACTGTATAGAGATCATAGAGATAATATAAACCGAGGAAGCGATCAGTATATTCCTCTGTAAGTGGCAGCGTACGGCCGGTAAACAGAGAAAGAAGACTGTTTTTAGTTTTTCATCACTCTTTGCTATCTGCACTGATTGGGCTATACTGAAGAGGACATAAAATAGCCAATCAGTGACAAAAGCAAAGAGAGCTGCAAGGCCAAAACAATGTTCTTTCTCTCTCTACCAACCGTATGAGATAGCGCCTTGTTCGCTTCCTCTAACATTTATGAGCTCTTTGGTACTGATTCCAAAGAAATCATTAAGCATGAACAAGTCCATAAATATATTAAAAATGTAATTATTGAGATGTTATCATTTTTTTCCACAGACACACAAGTAACCTTTACGAAGAATTACAATCTATTTACTCAGATGCCGAAGTTTGTATACCCACTGAATCGTTTATTCCTATTAAAAACTTTTCGAACATCGAAAATGCCATCTTGAATTATTTGACAAATGTCAAACAGTTTTTAAATTTCGACCAAGATTACATTCTTTTTGCCGCCAAAGTCGCTGTCAACAGCTACTCCCACAAACAAGAAAGACTATGTTTAAAAGGTGAAAATGACTTTGAGAAAATGATGGAATTTTCGAGAAATGAAAAGGTTTTGAGATGGTTATGGCTGACGTGGAGGGAGAAAGTAGGACCTCCGATGAAGGAACCTTACAGAAGACTGGTTGATGTTGAAAATCAAGCTTCTACGCGAAATGGTGAGTAGGATTTAATATTTAATCTTATACATGTCTAGATACTGAAAGTCTAAGCAGTGCAACTGTGCAAAACTGCAGTATGACGTACCGTTGGTGCTATATTCCCTATTGGGAATATAGCAACTCTCTAGCAGTGTCACCCGGGGGACGAATTGCTCCAACATGGCTCATACCGAGTGTTCTATAAATCTCTGACTCCATAGACTGACCTGGCTAGGATCTTGTTTGCCCCTATACCTACCTTACATTATATAAATACGTGAACATATACAACGTGTGATCTATCTTTTAACGAATGTGTAAACCACATATTCTGCACTTTATTTCTAGACGATTTGCAAAATTTGAACAAAAAATATTTAGTCGTTTAGAAACAGGACATTTTTTTTGTTTTCGTAATTTGCAACAACACGTGTAAATGCAGTCATAATACATTGAGCTCAGGAGGTGATCAGCTACAGCTTTTACTACCGCTTTTAATGAAATTTGTTAATTATTGCGTCATCAGGATGAAGGACAAGCGTTTTTAAATAGTTCATTCAGTAAGTACAGTCAATCGGCCCTTGGCCACCGGCGAGTGTTATGCTGTTCTGTGTCCTTGTAGATGCACTCACGACAAATTAGCGACATGATAATATTGTTGTTTTGTTAATAATTGTTTAGTCTTATTGCTTTCGTCATAATACACGGCAATGGTGTGAACAATTAATGTTATCGTGTGTGCAAGACTTCGTGTTATAACGAGCCCCGCTAATTTTTATTTTGAAAAATGACAATATTATGGCGGTACAAAGATTACGAGACAACCAAAGTACCTACTTTTTCAATGAGTGACACGTACTGCCAGGTCCGAAGTTAGTCGAGCATTCCCGAAATAAACACATTAATAAAATCGTATTTTTAATAAATAGATTTAAAAAAGCAAGTAAAGTGATTAGTGGGTTAGTAGGTAGGTAATAAGAATGTAAACTTCGCCGGCTCGTCTCGGCGGCGGCGTCGCTTTGATGTCGCGGACATTGCGACGCTTTCGTCTAAAGTTCAGCGACTCATGTTAACAATGGTGTTCTAATTCGACAATTATTTCATTTTATTTATTTTGTTCTAAATTTGCATTTCTTTTTATTATTTTAACCGACGTATATTTAACCGTGTTATCTGTTATTTCATTTTTTGTAAAAAGCTTTATCACATATTATATATTTATATACAAGGTTTTTAAGAATTAATATCTTTAGACTGTAATTCCTACAAAGAAAAAGAGAACTTAAATTAAAAAAAATCCAGCGTTAATATATTTATACTTTTTCCCACAGCCTTAATAGGATTTTTGCGTCTAGAATAAATTTTATGAAATTAATTAGGTACGGAAAATTGTCCTTTTATTTTAGAAGATAAAATTGAATTATAAGTAGGCCAATTTATGATGTAGCCTGAGGTGTTCCGCTGCGATGAAATTCTGATAGGCTCGTGTAGCTTGTAGCTGCAATTTTTTTTGTAGGATTAGCATTAGTGTATCACACTAACATTCCGTAACCCATATTTTCGATCCCACGTAATAGGGAACTGTAATGCCGCATTCCACTACCTTCTAAGGGATTTTTGAAGTGAAAACTTTTTTAGCAGCGTTGAGCTATTTTTGGTAGACAAAAAACTTACGGGTTTGCGTCACCGATGACCTCGACATGCTTGTGACGTATTGCGCCAGACTAGTGACGTGTAGTTTCATTGTTTTTAGTTTTCACTTCTGTCGGCAGTCCTTATGACTGAATCTGTTTTTTTTATAGTATGAGGGGAGGGGGGCAAACAGGCAGAAAGGTCACTTAATAATAAACGACTACCACCCATGCACAACTCAAAATACAGGGTGTTGCCATCCTACCAATGAACTTACCAGATTTAGGGAGGGAGGAAGATGGGCCTCCGATTTTTCCTACCATTGGAACTAAAGTTTTTATTAGGCTGTAATCTCTTTTTTTCTTGTAATCTTGAAAGAATATTATCACGAATTAAAATTTCTTACATTGCTATTCAATTTTGTGAAACTAAATATCTTTATTCCATTTTTTTTTCATTGTTTGAAATCGTCTTTTATGTAGACTCTAAAGTCATAGATTAACACACACAATAGCAATAATTTCTGTTTTGTCAAATACTTAACAAATTAAATATAATAAAATTATACCTATCAAAAATCTATTATATGTGTGCCGATTTACTACCGCCTGTTTCCAAGGGGTTGAGCCTTATGAGAAGAAAGGGCAAACAAACTCACAGCAACTCTTTTTAATTATCATCCAACTCTATTTTTTAGGGTACCCAAACATCGGAGCTTCATGGCGTGATTCGCTTGAAATGCCTCGTCTCCGTCGACACTGTCGCCATCTCTACGAGAGTATTAAACCTCTTTACAAATTATTACACGCAGTTGTGAGATTCTATCTCCGATGGTATTACGGAGAGGTTGTGCCTAAAAGAGGACCTATACCTGCACATTTGTTAGGTAGGTATTCAAGTATTCAAGGATAAACTGATGGAAGATTTTTGATAGGGTAGAGTGCAACCGTCGTACAAATAGCAGCATCTGCAAGTGACCGCAACCACGTAATAGGTGTGATGGTGTGTTATCGTGTGGGGACGGATTAAGCATACGAGTGTCGCCACCCCTATTCATGATCATTGAATGAAAAGCCGTAGCCGAAGAAAATACATATACAAAATAAGTTGTAATATTTATCTCGTCTAGATAACTAATTATTCAGCTTATATTTATTTCAATGTTCAAATTAAAAAGGAAATTTCTGGCTGTGGTAACCCAGGAGGAAATGTTTTTATAAAATAAGTTAAAAACTATAAGTTAAACAAAGAAACAAAAATACGCGTAACAATTACAGAAGCCGGGCAACTAATTATCTATCACATTTAAATGACCATTTTCAACATTATTTTGCTGGTATAACGTACACATCCTGTGGGTGTCGTAAAAGCCGACTGGGGAAGCAAACTACGCTGGACAAAAGCACGGCAAAGAGAAGAATTTTAACAATACAAACACTACACCAATCCAGCGTGGCATAATAGCCCAAAACCTCCTTTCTAAGGAGAGACCTATATCTAGCAGTATGCTGGTAAAGGCTGTTGGTGATGGTGATGACGTATTAGATATTACATACCTTTGAATCAGTTAGACTTCCCGTACAAAATATTGCGGAAGACGGAAGTCACCACACTGATAATTTAACACATACATTTTTTTTCATGCCGGGTAATGTACAGTGTAAATGACAAGTATTCAAATGACTGTTTTAATACTGACCTTTCTCACTAGATGGCGCTATAAAACGATAAGACGGATAACAGCTACTTGACATTAGTTTATTAGTTAGGTATGTTATTGGTAATGGCCCATGCCAATAGCAATAACATAATACAATAACATACTTTTGAATTACATTCTTTTTGATAAATAGTTATTGATGTGGTAATTAATACGAATATTTTACAGGTAATTTGTGGTCACAAAATTGGGAGCCACTCGCAGACCTCATGCAACTTAAGACCATAGACTTGAACAGAAGAATGAAGGAGTTGAATTGGACAGTAACTCATATGGTGCGTATCCCATTAATATTATAAAAGCGAAAGTTTATTTGGATAGATGTATAATTGTTTGTTACTCGTTCACGCCAAAACGGCTAATCGGATGTGAATGAAATTTGATACAGAGATAAATAATGCTTAAAACATAATATCTGGTCTTCAGGTAAAGAGAGCAGAGGATTTTTACCAATCTCTTGGCCTACCCGCAATGACAGATAAATTTTGGCGCGAATCTGTAATGGCCAGAGATAATAATAGTAAAATAAGATGTCACGGAACAGCAGCAGATATGTTTCAAGAAGGAGACTATCGGTAAGCACGAATTGTATTTAAACTTATTTAAAAAACACTAAACACTGTGCCATCGAGCAGACGGGTCACGTAGTGGTAAGTAACTACCGCCACCTATGGACACACACAACTAAGTGCCAGAAGCACGTTGCCGCCCTATTAGCTTCCTCCCCATAATTAGAGGGAAGGGGGGTGGGGGGTAGGTTTGCCATACGGTAACCTAACCAATTAATTGAAAAGTAACGAATGAATTGCTTAAAACGAAGTGTTTTCTGTGAGGCTGTGGCATCACTGATTGACGTTCCTTCAAAAGTACCTACTCAAGATTGAAGTAACCAAACTGTAATTATTTAAAAAGTAAGAATAACACCAAAGAACCTTGGATTAAAATTCTAATTTCAACTTGATGTATTTACCCAATATTGAGAAGCAGACTTGTGATACATAGAGAAGAGAACAATCCTACAAGAAGAATCCTAGAAAAAAATCTATTTACTATTGCAAGTACAAAATTCTGAACTAAAACAAATCCATAATGTAACCTCACACATCTCACACACGGCCATCTTATCCCAAACTTGGCAGAGTCTGTACTATAGTAACCAGACTGCTGATAAATAAACTTATATATTTCTAAATACATACATTTCAATGATAAATTACACTCAGTCACAGAACAAATGACCATGCTCATCACACAACTATTTGTCCAAGGTGGAAATCAAACCCATGACCTCTTGCTTAGCAGTCAGGGCCACTAACCACTAGATCAACACGGCCCGTTCATCTATCAAAGTCATCAACTCACTTTAAAGCACCATCTTCTTCTTTCAGCCTTCTATATTGTTCAGAGACATCCAAGGAAGACTTTTACGTTTTGCATCATGAGCTCGGACACATACAGTACTACATGGCGTATGAACATCAACCAGCTTTATTCAGAGTAAGATTATCACATAAAAATCATTAACATCATATCATCATCATCTCGGGCCTTCATTTTCCACTACGGTACTCAAAATAGGTTTCTTGAAAATGAACCCATTTACGTCTCGTTGTAAAGCCCAGCCCAATGTTAAAAATAGATTCCAGACCATGCGATCTACGTGCTCGGACGATCCAAAATCTGGAGAGCTTTTTGTAAGATGTCAACTCACAACACTAGATTGTCTACGGTACTAAACAGTATTTTTTAATTGATAAATAGAACGGGTGTTTAAATTCCATCTTACCTGATGGAAAGTTGTGAGGAAGGCGAAGGTAACACACCTTTTTTTTTGAGAAAATACCTTCGGATCTCCGGCTCCTTGGGGATGTAGGAGCCAGGAGTATGTGGTATTTCCGTAGCCGTAGATGGCCCGAGGTACGTCAAAGTAAGGTTAAGAATTGCAAAAGGGCAAAATAATACTATACTTTTTAACTAGACTTTGCTTAAAACTACCTACTAAGAAAATCTCTAACTATACGTTCTAAAACACGTATTATAGAAAACAATATGCATATTTTCAAATTTATACACATTTTGTATAGAAAATCCAGAAACATTTCCATTTAATATAAATTAATAGATATATTACTAATTTTTTTAGCAAGCCAATGCTGCATTACACGAAACTATTGGAGATACCATAATGTATGGCGTGCTTACACCCCAACACTTAAACCGTCTCGGTCTTATCAACGACTCACTACTCTTCACACCAAATGGTGATCAGACAGTTGATACATATTTAGATCATTTACCAGACAATGATAAATATACAGCAAATGATGAAAAGATAAAACCTTACGAAGATACTATAAAAGAAAGTTCTAAAACAATAAATGATATTGGTAGAGAAAATGATCTTTTGAAACAAAAAGCTCCAAAATTATTTGATACTAAAGATTTAACGATAGACATGATTTTACTATTTAAACAAGCTCTCAACAAACTGCCTCAGATACCGTTTGCTCTTTCAATAGACGAATATAGATGGAAATATTTTGAAGGCTCTTTAGAAAGGCATAATAGAGAATTTTGGAATTTAGTAGAGGAGCTACAAGGAGTCACTTCTCCAGGTAAAAGAGGAGAGGAGTATTTCGATGTTGGAGCCAAGTTTCATGTACCGGATAATACACCTTACATCAGGTATTTATTGGAATTATCGATCGCCTGGTGGTCAATTTTGTCCATAATTTTTTGTTGTTTTATATTATTGGCCAGTTAAACTTTAACTGTCTTTAACATAATAGTAGCAGGTCATCGTATATACTGGACTGACTTGATGTAGCCGTTTTCCTTAAATTTATCAATTTTTACACATTTTTATTATTTTTTAGTTTCTTAAGCTTCTCTCAAACATATTTTTTCTTATATGCTATGCTTTGGCTTTCATTGTAGATAATCGTCACGCATTCTACCAGATGGGATCAATAATATATCTCACAAAACATATCTAACTAAATTGAATTTTATATAATTTACAGATATTTTCTGAGTAGTTTCCTTCAACACCAACTGTTTGAAAAACTTTGTAAAGCTGCTGTGTTCGGTCGACGAAACGTAAAATATCCTGTACCTGATAGTATTGGTTTAGGTAGATGTGATATTTACGGGTCTAAGGCTGCTGGGAAGATCTTGAAGTAAGTATTTGACTTTATTGCAGACCTCAAGACTGTTTTTTTTGTAAATATTTCAAATTCGCATATTTGGCATTAGGTGTCTGTAAGGTAAGAGAGTTCAGATTTATCAGCAAGAGCGAGTTCAAGTTCGAGTTAAGGCTCTACTCTTACCCTTCCATCCAATATCCATTCGAACTAAAACCCATTCACCATTCTGCCTGAACCGGAGGAGATACCATGGACTCACAGAAACCAGACTTCAGTCATTCTATCACCGATCGAGTGAGGTTACCCGAGGACTAATCCTGCCAAAAATTAATTCAACTCTGAAGGAAAGGCAATCAAAGGGCTTCAAGGTACTTAAGCCTCTTAAGTAGCAACTGCTCATGGGAGTCAATAGTCACCTTCCATCAGCAATTATTTTATGGACTTATTCGAAACATTGTTCAAACAAAGTAACTCTTTCAAAGTAGGATAGGCTATTCTACACCAAGACCTACCTCTAGAATATTTGTATCTTTGTTCTAGGGACATTATGTCACGAGGCCATTCCCAACACTGGAGTGAGATCTTACAAGAAACTGTAGACGAACAGAATATATCATCTGAAGCCTTAAATCGATACTACGAACCTCTTTATAAAGTTCTGGACAAATTTGTACGCAAGCATCATGTACCTATGGGATGGTAATTTAGTATTAAGAATATTATATGGGTCATGGAACATAGAAATGTCTAGAGAGACTGCCAATGCTCTGAAAGCATCGAAAAAAAAATAAGTGGCCAACCGTTGGCTCAATGTTCCTTTTTCGTTACCGTTTATTAGCTGTGTTTGCCTTAAATGCACTTTTGCACACACTAAAGTAGTTTCGCACGCGTACAAATATTGGCCCGTTTGTGTTAGTTGTTTAGTAGTGTGACATCTAGGCATATAAAAGATCTAAGATCAGGGTGTGTGTTAATCCTTGAATACCATGGCTCCAATTAAAAAATAAAAAAGTGGTTGAAGGAATTTGAATTTGATAAAAAAAATCTTAATAGAGTAATGAATGAATAATGAGTCACAATAAATATACCCTTAAATTATGTTTCTCGTTCAAAATTCTTTTTTCTTTATATGCCATTTGTAGTAATGTGGCATTTTGTCAAATCTTTTTTCTTATTTTTTTATGCATTTTGGCGTTTTGTTAGTCAACCACAAAATTTTTAAAAAGAAATTGGTTATAAGTACTTCTGCGTTCAGTGAGTGGTACACCGAGTTCAAGAGTAAAAGAAAGATTTTATTATAAAAATACTAGGAACTTTGTAATATTTTGGACAAAATTTGATAAAAAGTAATAATAACTACTTAGGACCTATGGAAGCTTTTAAAGCTGCAAGTTTAGATTAAGATTTCACACGCATCACATCAACAGCCTTTAATAGTCCACTGCTGGACATAGGCCTCTCCTTAGAAAGAAGGTTAAGATTATGATTTGTGGTTAATTAAAAACAAAAACAGTAATACATTAAAACTTCGCCCTTCCCGCTGAAAATAATTACAGATTTAAAAACAATTTAAATAAATAAATAAAACTGAACCATCGAGTAACAGTTTTTCAAAGTCAAAAATCGAACGCTACATCGTTCATCCTTTTCTTAACTTAAATACCACAGATAAACATAAGTGACCAGAGACAATTTTCAAAGTTAGGTTACATAGTGCTTATAAATACACCTACTTTTATTCTAGTCAATAATGTAACTTATATCATTAGTCGTAGTTTAACCAAAGATAAATAAACATTTTAAAATAAAACACGTGTTTAATTTAACAATAAATACAATTTATTAATTTAAACTAACATTAAATAAAGTTCTCATCAGCGACAACTTTGTCAATTTCAATGCAAAAATCCTTATCATTTTTTTTTAACAAAAGTAGAAAAAATGGTACAAAATAAATTAAAAAAGCAGAATAACTTACAACAAGCGTTCTTTTTTTCAATAATTACTTATTAATTTAATTTATTTACAATTACAAATGGTAAAAGGTTTTTTGTTATTTATTTACACATAGCGTTAATTTATTTACACAAAATGTTAAGACGCTTAGAACAATATAAGAAAGAGATGATAAAAGATTTTCCCTCCAAATACAAAGATAATAAAATATTCCATATCTACTTACTTAGAAACTTTGAGCAAAGATTAAATTAATAGTACAACCCGATAGAAAACTCTGACATTTAAATAAATAGCAACTCACACGGCCAACTAATGGAGTACAATTTAAAGGTGAACCAACAAAGTAAAATTTACTGCACAGATTATCACTCAAATATTCTTTAATATTTTTATTTATTTAACATTTTTGTTCAGAAATCGTATGATCGTGTACCTTTAACGTTTATTTTAGTATTAAAGCTAAAATTTGTTACATATTTAAAAAAAAAACCAAGGATTCGACAGCTCTCAAAAGTAACACTGTTTTTTCCATTAAAAAAACTCGTGAATGTTACTTTTACGCTTCTCTTGTGATAAGTTGGGTAGGTCATGCACTTATTTATTTTTGATGGTTTGATCGACCCAGAAGTTGATCCTTCTGGTATAAGGTGAATTTTTAACTTAACTTTTGAATTTTTAAATTGTTAACTAAAATAAAAAAAAAATGTCTACTGTTGAAAATATATCTGCTATCATCTCCAACTTATCGTATTCTTTCTAGGGCACTTAATTTAATTTCATCATTAAAAATATTGCAATTTTAGCGAGTATTGATAAAGCAACGTATTTCATTGAATTTCACATGTATCACAATAAAATCTTACTAAATAAATGAGTTTAAAGAAATCGTTTGACTTTTATGACCATTTTGTTGATAATTCTGGAAGCGAGCGACTTGACAAAATGTCTATAAAATTTATCTACTAGGCCTTGTAATATAATAATCATTAGAGATTTTTTTCAATTATTTGAAAATATTTTACTTTTGTCGTGATTTGTGGTTAGATTTTTTAACAATTTATTACATTAATAGATATTTTGACCATAGACATTTTGTCAAATAGTAGAAATATTGCTATCCTATTGACTATTTGGTGGAATAGGGCTTACATCTAAATTAAATCGATGGTAAGTTTATTCAATGTGTACAACAATTAATAAACTGTCGTATCCACATACTACACTTTTTTATTATTTATGAGAAACACATTTATTTAAAAAAACACTGTTTGTTTATAACTGTCCAGAAACTTATTATTAAATAAATTGTTCTAATCAAACTCCATCCAAAACACCGTAAAATGTATCTATTTAAAGTCTTATAAAACTTTTGTGCGCAATTTCATTGTTAGTCTTTCGTCGTATATTCCATAAAGTTGTCTTAATCTGATATAAAATTAAGACTTAACAATTCAAATGTTCTTTTACATAGTAAATGAATTGTCGTAGACTGTAAATTATATTCAAATTATATTCATTCAAAAATGCTTTAAAAAAGAATTGTATTCGAAATGTTAAATTTAGTCACATTTTAATAGCAAAAACCATCACGAGATCTCAAGTGACATTCCTGTTTCTAAAAGTTAAATACCTACTTAATTATTCACTGGTGAAGTTTATTAAAAATCAACTAAATTTAGTCCGCCCAACGACATCGTTCACATTCATTAAATCGTTTCATAACAGTTCTAATCATATGATGAATATTATTGGTATCGTACTGATTTGCCATAACATCACATTTAAAAAGGTATCTAACCCAAACTAAGTGTAGCTACTACGGGTTCCAGAACTTGGATAAATATGCTTACACCTTGTTTTCTTCACACATATTATTAAAAAAACTGACCAATGCAAATAGATATATTTTTAACAAAAGATCTGAGAATTAAACCGCGTCTGACATTGAAGTCGAATACATATTACACCGCGCCATTTTAGATGCAAAAAATACTGTCAAAGAACTAAAAGTAAACTAAAACCATTCTAAATTTATTTTTGTTATCGCAAGTTTATAACGAAAACATGTACAGAGATTATAGCACAACATCGGCACTGCTTATTAAACTTATAGCCACAGAATAGCCACTCACTAAAGGTTCGTGTACTCTATCTATCAATATGCTATGATAGCGTGGTGGCGTGTGAGATCCAGTCCACCGTGTGGGCTACCCTATGGTAAATCCCCGGCTGGCCTCTAGATGCGCACGAGTACCCCGCCGATACCACCCCAATGAGGTACCAACGGCCTGCCCTTTCCAGCATCAGGGGCCCTCCGCTGTCACCTTGGCAGCTGTCTTTACCCCCTCCTCGGTATCCGGCGCACAGCATCTCGGGGTAGATTACGACGTTTATGCCTGGAAAGAGAAACAATTCGTATTGTTTAGTTTTTTATTTTATGGAAAAGCCATGCTTTGCAAATATGGGCCGTTTTAACTTTTATTAAACTGCGCCTGTAATAATAGGAGAGATCCGGGAACTGCTGTTATTAAGACACCCGGACCCCTCATAGCACCTGCCCGCAACGGCGTGGCCACCAACTTCGGGTTCATTCTCTATTCAGGCTCCTTCCTTCCTCGCGGCTGGCCGTTATGGCGGGTGGAGGGAAAACCCCGTCTCGTCCACCCGCGGCCCCACTCAGGACAGCATAAGGCACTGCGCGCGCCTCCGCCGCCCGGTTCGTCAAAGAGGAATTGGGTCCGAGTAGAGATTATTCTCCAGGGCCCTCTCCGCCGCCTCCTTCTGCGAGATGACGTCTTCGCAGAAGGATTGCAAATATGAGCCGTCTCAATCGGAGTGATACCACGGGCTTACAGAAAGTCGGTGTTAATTGACTTCTTATTGAGGTTACCGGAGTCCAGCCCCTCTCTCTTGTGTATCTTGAGGTGCATGTGTCCATGGGTGGCGGTACTTACTCTATTATATCTTATGCCTATAATCGTCCAGAATAATCCGTATGGTGATGGATTAAGAATAGGGAGTGTCACCACCCCCATGTTTATCCCGTGGTAGTCGTAAGAGTAAGAGAGCCGAGTAAGGGAGCAAACTACGCAGGACAGCAGCGCTGCAAAGAGTAGGAAAACCTGAAACAAACTCTATACCAACCCGCCTGGCCAGCGTGGTATAGTAGGCCAAAAAATCAAAATGATGTTGATGATGATATAAAAAAATACCCATGAAGACGTTAGAAAAATACAATAACGATTTATTTGCACTTTAATATTATAATTACAACAACATGATAGGGATGGAATTAAGAATAATAATCTGTCCTCTTCAATACACTTCTCTCTTGTCGTCTGACTTATAGCGATCATAAGCTGATTAACCCATTTAGAACGTGGCCTTTTCAATGGCACTTCTCTCCAAACTATCTCATTTTTATCTGTAAGTAAATATACCCACCATTAGCTCTATGCCACCGCTCACAGACCCTGTTGTCTAGTACCGGAACATCGACAGCTTGTAGGGTCCGCGGGCGAAGCCTCGAGCCAGGACTGAGGGCTCCCCAGCCTGCCGCCCAGCCGTACTGCCCGAGGAAGTCGGAGCCACGTTCAGGAAGGCAGATTGGTGCTGAAGTTAGACAATAAGGTTTAAAGTTTAGAAAAAATAATAAAATTCTGTCTGTCTGCCGGCTGTTATTATGTTTTTATGTAAATTATACATTTACATTTTACTTCTAGTAAACCAACGCCATCTAGTGGATGCCATAGAAATAACTTTTTGTAATTAAGAGTAATCCTGCATCGCGATATGAAGATTCACACCTTGATTAACCATTACTCCCTTGCATGCTGGTTCGATATTTGTGTCGTAAGAATAGAGCAGTCTCTTTTTTATTTATTAGAAGTGTAATCAAATGTTTAACATAATAGTAACTGCTGTTAAGTTTACTTATTATACTACTAACAGCATTTTCTACTTATTACTAATATTTTTTATTTTTAATGTATGCTACGGAGTATATACAGAAAAAAAGAAAGAAATAAAAGGTGGCACTATACTACTAATATAAATTAACTTATTTTCGCTGAAAAATCGATCAAAAATCGGCAAATATCACAAACCTATTCATAATATTTATTTTTAATTTAACAAGTGACACTCGCGATTACAAAACTCATGTTATCAAAGGACTGTGTAACCCCACTGACTGTCACGAGGTACACTGTATGATTATTTGCCACTTTGCAGCTAAAAAAACTGTAAATACAAGAAGTAAACTTACCTATATGTGGCATATAATGCACATTTCTATCCAGGGTAAGCACAGCCACGTCAAACCGATCCGCTTGGGGGGTGAACTTGAACAGAGGATGCACTTTGATAGTCCTAACGCCGAAGGTGTAAGCTGGCAGAGGTTCAGCGGCAGAATTGATGACGTAGTCCCCGAGGGTGACGCGGACGTGACGTGGCTGAGCACGAGCTACGCAATGGCCGGCGGTGACGACGTGACGTCGGGAGATCAGAGAACCTCCGCATCTGGAATTGTTAATTTAAATTGTTAAGATTTTTTAAACTTGATTTTGTTTCCATTTTTGCTCGCTTTAACTTTGATTTTTATAATCAACAATTATCTCGGTTTTTTTTTATAGAAAATAATTTCTAAACACCTGAAAGTATTTTGAGTATTTAGTAGTTTAACCTTGAGAGAGTAACAAACAAACTGACAACCCCAGATATGATATTAAACAATATTATGTAACTGTCATTTATATTTACATGAAAATGAAGTTGCCTTTGATATCACAATGTAAACGAGTTCACTTGTTAGAAATACAGCACACTGTCATCTGACTGAAAAACTTAGTACTAGTTGCTATGAATTCTACATCGCGCAATTAGAAATCATCCAGGAAAAACGTCTCTCTTCTCTCTTTGTATTGCAAATGAGTTATTTTGATAGTAAATAACACAAGTTGACGCAAAAAAATGTATGAAAATTATTATTTCTGTAATCACAACACACAAATCAATCTGCGTGGGAGTCAAAAAGACACACCCTTGACCTTGTCAAAATATATGAAGTCGCTTAAAAGAAAATAGAAACATAAAAATTCCATATTTAAGTCATCTGTGACCATAAAAACCATACAATTATGTACAAAATATAATATTTTCGAACAACAAAGAGAATGTGCAAATAAAAATATTACGTAACTTGTCTGTACATCGCTTATTTCCATCCAAATTCACTTAAAGAAACCATAAAAAAGTAATATAAAGAATTACACAATTCCGTAATGTCGAACAATGGCATGCGTATGAGACAATTTCTCTAAGATGGTCGCCATTGCGTCAAACTCAATTATAATGTTCAGCGAAAACAATGAGTGAGGAGATGGTTCTCGCAATAAAAGAAATTCGTAATAAGAGATCACAAAAACATAATCAAGATATTATTCAGGTACAAATTTTTGTGATAGAATCTTCTAGAAATACGTTTTTTTAAAAGTGTCACTAACTTTAATGACCTTACATCATAATGTAGTTCACATTATGATGTAAGGTCATTAAAGTTAGCTTTCTTCATTCCTTAATTTTTTCCCCTTGGGTATTGAAATAAGACAAATACAAATTCGAATGGGACAATGTAGAAAATACAAAAAGAATTTTCAAATTCAAATTTTCCGAATCTGTTTATAAATAACGGACTTCTGAGGTTACAAAAAAAAAACAACCGAATTCGGCACCCTTATTTTGAACCATTAGAAGTCAAAACTAGTAGACTAATGGAACAAACTACGCAGAACAACAACGAACGTAAACAAGTTTAAAGTCTTCTTGTTTAGTTTGTACTTAGCACTAATAAAATTTAACCCTTCATGAAAAATCTTCCTTCAGAAATCCATGTCAAAATTTACGATCCGTGTTGTCGTAGGTAAGGACTTAGCAGAAGATTTGCACGATAATGACTCAATTGGACCATGAAGTGGGACTGCTGGGGTCTAAAAGCGAGAATGGAAAACAGAGTCTCTGACTTTAGATTTATGTTAGTATTTCTATGATTTGTCACTGAAAACATCATAGGAAGGCAACCCCTCTTTCGTTCCCATGAACAATATCAATCACACTAATATTATGAAGGCGAAACTTTGTGTTGGTTACTTCTTCACGTTCAAACGGCTCTACTAACAATCTGGATTAACACAGCCGCGGGGCGCAGCTAGTCAATTACATATTGACTGTCATTTCTGTACACTAAGGTTTCCAGGTGTTTTTTTATGGTATAGGAGGGAAAACGGGTTCCCCATACCTCATTCATTCGGTGAAAATGTGGCATCACTCGGTCGAGTTGCCCGTTTAAGTTGAAGCGTAGCTCTCTTACGTATTGTCATGGACAAATTCATCATGATGGTAATCGGTAACGATTATAGTAGTATCAGTCAAATGGAACATTTTTGCCATTCTGAGGATTTCTAAGCGACACGTCGACACGAGTTCAAGAACAAGGAAATCTTCTTCACCTACTGGATTCATTACTTAGGTTTGATAAAACCTCTGACATGATAATACTTCTGACACCAGATTGTGGACTTATTCCAGTGCGTCCATATTCTTCCGAGCCTTTTTCACAAACTAGGTTGGGGTCGGCTTGAAGTCTACTATGATAGGCTGAACTTGGATGTTTTACGTGGAGTGACTGCCATCAGACCTCCACAACCCAAGTACTAGGCGACATCGAAGTTCTGCAGAAAGACGTTGGTTGGACTTTTGAGGGCTCTAACTACCCGTAACAAAAGCCACAAATGTTCGTATGGCAACTGGGATCGACAGCTTAACGTGCTCGCCGAGGCTCGGAGGAATATCAGTGTGTTAATAATGGTCGCCCATCCATAGACTGACTTGGCTGAGATTGCTTAACTTTGCAATGTTGTCACCTACTCTGAGACCACTCCAACCCTCTCTACGGCCGTATAAAAAACAAAAATAAAACTCAACACGAAGTTAAGAAAATAAAAGAATAAACCTAAGCAGATAACGAATAGTGTTTTTGTTGTTATTTAAATAATATTTATTTACTTACCTTTGAGATATAATAAAGTGGAACATCTGATCATTATCATTAATTTAGTTCATGTTAATTTGTGTTACATAAGCTCATCTGTTAGTAAATAATAAACAAGTTTCCTTTAAAGAAGAGAAATGTGCGAAAAAGTGTTGTGATAAATAAAAATAAACAAATGTCTTACATAACCTAAACATATTTATAAAATATTAATATATATGTTTTATACATGCTTATGTTTTTGTAACGTAACGTAACGATGTTTGAAACGTTATTGATACATATCGTTATTACCAAGAAGAAGGATATTCTTTTTTATATTCTAGTGAGATCCTGTTAAAACTACATTTTATAGTATGCCATACAAAATCACAATCTACAGCAAAACTTAATATTCTCAAAATGTACAAAACAAATTAAATCGACTATTTCAAGTAGCAGAATACAAGGCTCGAGATGAAACCCAAAATACTGTACAAAGATTAAAAATATATAAGTACCTTAAACTATAAATTGTAAAAAAGAAAAAAAATATATTATACAGAAACACTAAGATTTATCTACAAAAGAAAAACCAGAAGAAAATTCTTGTTCGACCTTAAAAACAAATATGCCCTAAAGCGTTTTGTACAACCACGTAGCTACTGAACGTCATGCTATCTCTTTCGCACATTTACCTCTCTATCCAACACTGCTTCCAACCGATAAGCTCGAATAAGGACATAAGCGTGTTGCATCTGTAAAATTAAGTATTAATTCATGTTAATATTAGTTAGGGGCACATTTTTGTTTTGTGAGTGGAAATAAAAGTCCCTGTTTAGAACAAGGTTCATCCTAAGGTAAATAAAACAAAATGAGGCCATCTTAACAGGGCTTTATAAACAATTAAATACGCACTAGATATGTTACGCTCAAAATTCTTAATTGGTCAAAAGTAGTTTTCCTAAAAACCATAAGCAAAACTAGTTTTGACGCAACAGGTTAGTCAAAAGTAGTTTTGTCTGACAGTCATTGCTAAATGTTACAATTGATTGCATAAACTTTGCATAACTTAGGTAGAGTTGGTAATGTTTTTTTAGGTTAAAATTAGTTAGTTTTGACTTCAAAATTTACGTTTAAAATAAAAAAGAACATGTTTTCATACAACAGTAAATTAAATTTTATATATTTATAAATATTTAATTATTAATGTGGAATACTACAAATAAAGTATACCATATTGATTATGGATATATATTCCTGTAAGGAAACTTCTTTTCTACATAGTTTGTAAATACCGATATAATATCGCAAAAACGATATGATATCGTTACAACGATATAATATGGTTATAGCGATACTTTTATTATAATCATCGTAATATTGAGTTGCAGAATTCAGATCGTTTTTTTCTTCTTCTTTAAAAGACGACTCTCGCATTAGGATATGTCCTGTGTCGCGGAGGAAATGTACATGAAACGGACACAAAGAACACCCAGACTTAGAACAACAATTTGTGGATAACACAAAGTATTGTCCCATGTGGGGATCGGACCCACCACACTCAGCGTAGTAGCAAGCGGCGTGGCGGCTGCTTAAATCACTACGGCATCCGTACAGTCATTACAAACGATCTAATATTATAGACAGGTACGTATTATCATTTTACTAAATCAATATTACTTTGAAGCTTATACATTTCGATAACTTAATTTTTTTAATCCTAAAAGTTGTATGTATTTTCTTTCCTTGCATATTTCTTTGGAAGGAAAAGATTTGACACACAAATGTATGAAAATTTGTCTAATAACTTTTATTTCCACTTAAAATTATTGATTTATGATATTATTTACACAAAAAAAATGATAAATGAGTGAATCAATATTACAATTAGTTTTTTTAGTTCATTAGTGCGTTCATTTACAATGGTATGAATATGCAAGTGCTAAAATATTTTCATGCAAGAACTACAACATATTTTGGTTTCTAAATTAGCCAATAATGTGAATAATTCTAATGCGTAATGGTTGAAAATTATTCACAATATTATAGCATGACAAATGTGGCACAACGTGACAGAAAATGACAATTGTGATGGAACAAAATACAGCGTAAGTGGCGATAGCGACATGACAATGATTTAAGTGGCAATGCCAAAGTGACAACACGTACCTACCTTACGCGCATTTTTTACCAATTTTTTTACATTTAAAACTTAATAAAGTAAAGAGTTTTTTTTTAATTTCGTAAATTCAACTACTATAACCATAATCGAATTATTTTTAATAATAAAATAGTTATAGTATGCAACGTGTACTACACGTGTTCACACGTTTAAATAGAACAAAAAGTGTTCTTTATGCTTGTTCGTTAAGATTTGTAGTACTCCAGTGATGAAACTGACTGAGTTTATTGTATCTAATATAATAGCTATGAATTTAGTCATGATACCGACTCTGCATAGTTTAGGATTAGACAGCTGTATGTAGGATATGTCTAAAGTTGTTGTTATTTATGTAGTAACGTGTTAGATTAAAAATAAATGCATAGTTTGGGACTAGACGACGTTGTGTGAATGTGGTAGAATGTTATTATTTTATTACAAAATGATGTCCAAAATTAAAGAAACTAAATGATATTGTCAAAAACACAACTTCGAGGTTAACATAAATGCACATCAATAGTACTGTAAGTCCTGAATTGCACTTTATTGTGTCGCATTAAGAGTCGCTATTTATTAAAAAAATGTTTTCAAAAATAGTTATATAACACTTTTTTCTCACGAATATTAGATTTAAAATAAATAGGTATTTTGTCATCTAACTTAGTTATCAAGAGAGTAATATATTTCCTTGCCAAATTATTTATTTTAATGTATATTCTATTGAAATTATACGGTTGGCAGAAATCCTGGCTATTAATTTTCAAGCTAATTGAGATGACGTTTCTGATTCTCCGTTGTAAAGGGAGCTAACATCAAATGGTACTATCCACTTCTTCTACCTATCCCTACAGCAATATAAAGGAAAATGATATTTTAATACCACATTCGTTTCATATTTCCCTTACAATACGTAGTTAGTTATTGGAGACATAAAAATATAGTTTCATTAAAAAAAACAGTATGTCACAAACGCTCCTCATAAGTAACAAGAATTCTACCTAAATATTCCATTTATGCCACGATTGTCAACGCTTTATAAATTTCCATAACGGATTTGAACTGTATAACCTTGATGATCCAATCCTGATGTATGCTTGCCAGGGGAAGGTGCCAAAACCAGCGTCGTCTCCACCAACTATACGCCGCTGAGCTGTCTGCTTTCCTACCGCTATTCCACAACCTGAAAAAAAACAGAGAAAATGGATTTAATAAATAAAGTTTTGTTAGTTTCCTTCCGTATCTAAAGCGTTATAAATACAACGATCAGTCTTTATAAAATATATTTCGCATATTTTATAAACATTCTCAAGTGATGTAATCTCTGGCTCTGAATTTGGTGGATTTTTCTGAAGCTTTCGACACCGTTTACTGCAACACTGCTTTATTAAACTTGGCTCTTAACTTAACAGTGATTCTAACTATTTATTAAATTGGAGTGACCTTTAACTAACTCTGGTGTTCGGACTAACTAACTTGGGATGGCCACAGTATGACACAAGAAGACTGTTTGAAAGCAGTCCTATCAGATGGAGTAGCGCAAAAATCTGCCGTACCCTGCCTTGTATCATTTCAATGTTGTACACCCGCGACTTCAAAGCAAATGCGTTGAAGTTGCACGTGGAAACCCCAATCATAATTAATAATAAACATAGTTAATCGTTTTTATTACACATTTTTCTTTACTTGTATTTTTCTTCGATTTCCTTTTTTCGTGCGACAATACTATTAACGAGCTTAATATTAATAGTATTATTAAACACTTCATTTTGTATAAACATGTTAGTATCAACACATTGTTTTTTAGTACACTTTATTCTTAAATCTGCATAAAATCTTCATTACGCTTGTTTACTTCACAATTAAGGAAAAAATGTCACACACTATATTTTTACTACAATAGTTATATAACACTTTTTTCTCACGAATATTAGCTGAACTCTCTTAATAAATTTTTTAAATTATACACTATTGAAGAAATATTCTTTACAAGAACGAAACTGAAACTTTTTATTTTGAATGTCTGGCCACTATTAAAACTATTCCACTTGAAATAAAATTAATCTTTAAAACAATAACACTTCTAATGTAACATAACATTTATAATAACAGTTATTTTAACGAACGTGTAAATGTTTATAACAATACAAGTCAACTAACATGTAATTGACTTCGGGACATATGTATTTATGTGTAGTGCACTTCCTTCCAGGAAGTACATAACACTGTGTTTTGTGAAGTTTCGAAGGTGTTAAAAATTATACAATCGTCTTTAATCTTTATTACCTTTCTAACCATGAAGTCATTGAACCATGAAACCATTGAAAAACGAAGCAACTGGTTCATTTCAGTATTTTAAGAGTGTAGTAGTTGCGATTAATTTTTTGTGGGCGAGTGCTGCTGTGCAATACCGCTTCTGAATCGATACTACCATGCTTATACTCGTAAATGTGAAAGTGAGTTTGTTTGTTTGTTACGCTTTCAAGCTTAAACCACTTGCACGATTTTAAAAATTATTTCACCAATGTAGCATACATTATCAGCGAGTAACATATGCTACTTCTTACCGCCATAACCGACATACGCGTAGGCGGAGCAGCGGGTAAAAGCTGGTAATTAAATTTTTTACCACAAGGAAAATAGTACTTATTGGGTCTCTCATTAATAGTCGCTAAATTGAAATAAAGGCGGAACATTTGACATTTCCCCCTTTCACCCGTGATCCCATCGCCCCACTGGTGGGTCTACGGATAAAAGGCGGGATATTTCAGGAATTCTTTTGATACAGACCATAGCTCAGAAACATCAGAAATGTTTAAGGGAAATGCTGGGCTCGGTGTTTTATCAGGGTAGTGAAGAAGAAAATCAGTAGAACGCTTGAGAGAAAGTAAACTGTCACGGAGACTACGTCCAGCGATGGACTATAATAAAAGTCTGTTGATGATGATGGTGAAACTATCATGGCAAGTTATAATCTGAACGGGAATACTGGGGCTCTTTGAATCTTTGGGGATGACAAAGCCTGTTAGGGAAATCTAAATGGTGTTTATGGTGCACGGTGGAAAGAAAAACAATTCATCATTATCATTAGAATCATTGTATTAGGCGTTTGTTTGATCTATGTTTACAACCAAAGTAGAAAAAAAATCAAATTTTAGTCGTTTAAAATATCTACTGCCATTGTGATATTTCAGATACTACCAAATAACGGCAATAAGGTCAAAAATCTACAAGTGAAAACACTAATCGCAAGCAATTCGATACACCGTTATTTGGTACTCCTGGCAACATAAATCTCAGTAGTCTTAGCGTTGTACCTTTGAATACGGCACCCTAAAAATAAAGCGAATCCATCAGACATACAAAGATTTGCAAAGCCTTATTGGCAACTAACATGGAACCCTAAAAATAAATCGAATTCGTCATACATACAATTATTCGCAAAGCCTTATTGACAACTAACATGGAACCCTAAAAATAAAGCGAATTCATCATACATACAATGATTTGCTACAACAACTAACATGGTCACATTTGATCAAGCACTTTCTCCGACTATTCATCTTACAAATAACATTTACATTCTTATACATATAGCATACTTTCATCAAATTTTGTATCACATGCATCATCAACAGCCTTTAATAGTCCACTGCTGAACATAGGCCTCTCCTTAGAAAGGAGGTTTTGGTTTACTATACCACGATGGCCAGACGGGTTGGTATAAGTTTTGTTTCGAGTTTTCCTTCACTTTGCAGTGCTGTTGTCCCGCGTATTAGCTGCCTCAGTCGGCTCTTACGACACCAACGGGATGAGAGGTGGGTAATCACTAGGCGATAGTCCGCCCACAATTTTTTACCGCCCCAATAGTTTGTGGCTATAAAAAGTAAACAAACTTGGTTAAAGGAATATTAATGAATTGTTTCAGAAAAGTCAAATTATCATCACCTGGAGTGCAAAAAACAGTTTTGCTAGAGTTTAGCTCTTTTAACTAATGCAAGTATTTGAATAGTTTGATGAAAAGAAAACTATCATTTTATCATAGAAGGTCCATACTTCAGCACAAACTCTCGGCTCGACCGGAGTGATTCCACGGCCTCACAGAAAACCGTTGTTAAGCTGTTCTTTCGTTGCTTATTAGCGGGTGACTAAGGGTAGGTTAAAAGATCAGACGTAATAGGCTAGTAGTAGGTAGACGTAGACGTAGGTAGACGTAGTCTGCTCGTTTTCTCTCCTATTTCATAAAAAAATCAGGATGTTGAAATGTTTACTAACAAGAAATTTATCTAAAACATAAATAAAAGTACTGAAATCTAGCTCAAGTTCAAAAATCTAATTGAAGAAGTTATGGAGGAACTCTCTCTTTTGGGGGCTCGCGGCTAAGTGGTAACCGGATAGGTTGAGACATTGCAAAGTTAAGCAATCTTAGTGGGGTCAGTATATGAATAGGTGACCATTCTTAATACATTTAAGTTAAGCCATCGGTCCCGGTTGCCATACGATCATCTGTTGTAATCGTTACGGGTAGTGGAGGTCAGATAGCAGTCGCTCCGCGCAAGAAATCTAGTTTGGGTAAAAGACCGGAGGAAGATTTTATCTTATCTTCTATTCTACGAAGATCTCATTCTTATCACTATGATAGCAAAAATTTAAAGATACAGTAGAAATGCAAAAATTTAGTTATTGTCATACAAATACACAGGATCCGGATCAGGATAAAAAACACCCAAGCACGGGACAACTAATTTGCTAATCACACAAACTTTCATCGCATGTGAGAATCGAACCCTGAACTTGAAGAATTGATGACGTGAGTACATTAACCATCACTCCACAATGAAAAAAACTATCGACTTTAAACTAGTTCTCCCTCTCTCTAAACAATGAATAGGAACTTGAAACTACTTTCAGTCACACAATAGTGGTAAAAAAGTTTCCGTACATTATGTCTACGTCGGCAGCAATCGTATAATCAAAGGTACACGCAAGTAATAAGTATCAACTTGAACTTTCGCGTCTGCGGTCTCACTCTGCGGTTAGCAAGTGCTCCGAGTCAAGATTACATTTCCTATCTTGGTTTGACTTTGAATTATGGTTCTATGGCGTACTAACTGTCGCGGGATTTCTCTCATGTTATTTTTCGCAGCGGTATGGTATAAATCCGTCACCACACATACTAAGAATACAGTGTAACCACCCCTATTCTTCTGGTGTCGTAAGATCCGGCTAAAGATGCAAACTACGCAGACAACAGCACTGCAAAAAGAAGGAAATCTTGAAACAAATCCTATACCAACTCGTCTGGCCAGCGTACTAAAATAGGCCAAAATCTTCTTTATAAGGAGAGGCCTATGCCCAGCAGTGGACTATCAAAGACTGTTGATGATGATGGTATGAATCTTGTATACCTTGAGCAGTATGTTGACCTTTCCAATTACAAAACATACACTTGCTACCAGATGACCCATCTGATCGACTGCCATCTATAGCATAAAAAAACAAATCTCAATCTCATTTTCCAGCCAAGACTTGAAGTCCCTTACTTTAAGTCCTTCGCCCCAACCAATTTTTTTACCCTAATATACTTTCTTTCTTTAGTTTAGACACGGTTACATTTCTAAGTAGAACTCGCGTCAAGAGAGGTTCGGCCATAAAAGAATCCCTCGAAAATTCTTGCATTGCGACATTGAAAGATTTTTTTACTGCACAGATAGCGTAGTGGTTTAGCCGGTCACCTCGCCACTTACTACTGCGCTAAGTTTTGTGGGTTCGAGAGAAAAGTTTGTCCCATGTCCCCACATGGGACAAACTTTTTATGATCCACAAATTCTTGTCCTGAGTCTGGATGTTCTTTGTGTCCATTTCATATATATTTGTCACATATATATATATTATACGTAGCAAACACTCAAACTCCGAAAGAAATATTTGCAGATCATACAAACATTTGGTTCGACCCGGGAATCGACCCCAGACCTCAGCACAACAGTCGCATACGCTACCACTTCACCACCAAAGTAAAATATACGGGGTGTAAGGGACATCTTAACGCATACTGAAATAGTGTGTTCAGACCATTATGCTGAGCCGAAAATCATTCAAATAATCAAACAGTCGAAACGCGCCGGGCCTGTTAGTGTGCGTAGACTGTTTGCGCGGATTACATATGTAGTTATTACTTTTGTACGATACCAACGGGGAATGATCTTAACCTTTGACAGCTGATTGCATAAAAAAAATTATTTTCCTGCAGAAAATGCCAATGATTTTAGACTCAGAATGATAGCGTGAATACACTATTATAGTATTCGTTACGATGTCCCTTACACCCTGTATATCCTGTATGACTCGAAGTAATAAGTTAGATAATGCGCTCTTTCACTCCTTAAAACCTGCATTTCCATACGCTTAGTATACAAGCCAAATGGCTTTGATCTCAGCAGTGAAAGTAATCCACGGATATGTTGTGCAACATTGCCTACAATATTATTTGCTGATCAATAACATATTATATTGTAATATAGTCACAAATTATTACTTGACATTGTAAAGGCTGTTGAAGGGATACGAGTATAAACTTTTGTTAATAGGTACTTGGTACGTCGTAGGTTAAAAACGATTTGTGAATTTGTGGATAAAGTACCTATGTATTTATTTGCGTGTGTATTTTTATATGTTATTAGTATGTATATAGTACACGTATCTAGAAGATTTATGTTTATTTATATGATTTATATTAATTATCTAGATTATTATAAAGAACACCAGAGACTACTTAAATCAGATTTGACAGATTTGATTTGAGATCCTTAAGAGAACGTCGTGAGCAATAAGGTTATAGGTTCCCCATACAAACTTCCACCCCCTTTTTCACCTTCTTAAATGATGATTTCCTTGATAAAAACTTCCTATGTCCTTTCCTGGGACTCAAATTATCTCTATAACAAATTTCATCTAAATTGGTTCAGCGGTTTAAGCGTAAAGAGGTAACAGACAGACAGACACACTTTTGCATTTATAATATTATTAGTATTTAGCACGCACGGGCTAGTGACCCTGACTTACCATCAGGTGACCCGGCTACTGTTTCTCCACACCACAAAAAAAAGATATGGTGGATGGATGGATGAGTTAAAGTGCCGCCGCCTTTTCAGTCCCTCTCCCCTGAATCAGGGGGATGAGGTGGGTTTGGGCTTCAGTAACATATCGTACTCGGTGAAAGGAGGCTTAGAGGCTTAGAGACAGTTTTCTGTGAAGCCGTAGTATCACTCCGGTCAATCTTGGCCCATTTGTGTCAAAGCATAGAACTCCAACGATAGACTAAACAACACATTTTGACTTACTTTATATCATCATCATAAACCTTATCATCTTTTTAATTTTATTTCCATTCAATGTAATATTAGATATGGATGGTTTATGTCATGGCAGGACAAATGCCTGACGCAAAACTCTTTTTGAGAATATAATCATTTTCCGACGGGATATAAAAAGAAGGTAAATTACAGTAAAGAAAACTGATTCGGTGAGAAAGTTACTAGGATACCGTAAGAATACCGAATGAGGTCGAGACATCAACTGCCTTCTATCATTTACATGTATAAATATAATACACATACATATATAAAAAATATTAACATAATTCACAAGTAAGAATATAAGCATTAGTAATAAAAATAAAATAAATTAGTACGTACATACATAAATTCAACATTAATCATAGTGATAGTTGTCTTTGACGGCTTTTTGGAAACTCGGTAGCGAATGTGCTAGTCTGATAGCCTTAAGCACTACATTCCACAGACATGCGACTTGTACCCTGAATTAACTGTCGTAGAAGGCTAAGACGTGAGCTGAATTGTCTGAATCCAGGATATTCGATGAACTCAAGCTTTTTATGCTGTAGGGGTCAAAAAGCAATATATAGACGCCTGCAGCTATTTGGGTAACCTCCCTCAGAGTTAGAGGAAGGGGACTTAAAGAGTTGTTGAGTTGGGAGGAGGCTTAAGACCGGTTTTCTGCGTGGCCCTGGTATCAGTCCGTTCAAGCCAATCAATTAAATTGTATCATGTATAAATACAAAAGCAAAACAAAGCGGAGTGGCAGAAAGAACCAAGACATTACATAGAAGAGAAAGGATATCGATATTCCGGCGAAAGTGAATCGGCTACTACTTGACCTTGATACGGCATTTAAAGAAACGATGATATTTGCATATACCAAAAACAAATTTAAACATAGAAATTCTGGAGATGCCAAAGTTTAAGAATATGGTCCTCATTAGGATGAAGATAGCTGTTATCAGCGGAGTCAAGAATAAGTAGAAGTAATTTTAGTGGCAGTTGAAAGAAATGTTCGCATTTTCTTTAAAGATAGAGCAGATCAGGATATTTGCCAACTTACTTGCTACAAATGATAGGATAATAGGATAATGTTTCAGCTTCCAATTTCAGCTATCAAGCTTTCAATTTTCTCCAGTTGCATCAGATGACATAAAAAAGATAATCCTCTCCATTTAGTCCAACG